CTCCTTCAGCCTTGCACAGTTCAAGCAAATAAATCCGTGGGAGGGAAAGTGGTGCAAGCTTTGTAAGGGGCTGACAGGACAGAAAAGCTGGGTGCCGGGTATTTCACTGGAAATGAGTACAGCCCTTCACTGAAATAAAAGATTCACGGCAGAAAATAGCGTGTGGTTCATTTAGCACTGTAGATAATTCCCCCCCCTGCCCCCCGAAAACCTCCAAGACATTCTCCAATACATTGTAGAAATGCTTGTGCTGATTGTGCGGGTACTGAGGTATATCTGCCTGCGTTGGTTATGGAGCATCCCCGCCAATGTCGTGCAACGGGTGGAGCGTACATGGGACAGCATGAGAACAGTCACTGTGACTTCTGCAGATGCTTTAAAGATAACCTTTATGGCAGAACGAGTTTGAGTTTCTTTAACGCTTTTACTCTATGTATCAAGAGTCTGAAGACTGGACTGAGCATATTCGTAAGTAGTGACCAAGAAATGCCTCTTCTTCCTAAGGATCGTTGTATTGCAATTGCATTATAAATTCTGCACTACTTAAAAATACTTCTGCTATAACTAATGACTTTCGTGGTCTTCAGCAGTCCTGCTGGACCTTGCATGTTACACTAATTGCATGTTGAATAAGCTTTATAAAAGCCCATAAAGAAGCTATGCATGTAAGGCTCCTTTTTCCTTTCCACTACTTCTGATTTTTAGATACTTGAAAGAAGGGTGCTTTTCATCTTGTATTTTATTGTGGTTTTGGCCGTTATCTTACAGGTGGCAAAACTCTGGTAATATCTGATAGTGATAAGAAAATGAGGCTGATATGTAACTGTTTAGGAGTCTTGCTAACATTCACTGTTAAGTTGCATATTAGTGCCAACCAGCACATTAAATATGCAACTATTTGCGGTTTGGAATATGGAAAATTCTAGTTCTATGGGCAAACAATTGTGCTCAGCCTTCAACTAAACGTAGTCAGGTGTGATACTATTATTGGTGGGTTTATGCATGTTGGAGCTGTTATTATGACTTGATTTTTCAGATAATGCATATGTGGCAAATGTTACGTTGCCGCTCTCAAAATCAAATATCTGATCTGTTTCTGCTTGACGCAGTTCTTTGTTTCATCTGTTAGGTTGCTATATATTTCTGATAGTGTCACATGTTGTTTTTCTGTAAGGTTTTATAAATGTTTTGCTTTGCAGGTGTTTTGAGGATCCTGACTGAAATGTTTTTGCCCCATATCAGCCTTGCAGATTTGGAACAAACTTTTTTCTCAAAAGTATTACCGAAGGTACGACAGCTTCAATTAAATGTGGAATTTTCAGTCAGTCCAGTGCTAAAAACCTGCGTAGAATGCAGTGATTCTTTTTTGAGGTCTCATCATATAATTATTGCTTTGGATACAAAACTTGAAATTAAAATGTTACCCTTTAAATGTTTGACAATTTTGTGTTGTTGGATTGTTTCCGTGATTGTTACCATTCTTTACAGTGGGGAGAGGATCAAACATATGATGTTCTACTTTCTATATTCAGTAATAGAATTGGGTTTTATTTCTTTTTGAGAAGATTGGGCTTTCTATAAAATGACCAGGGTGGAGAATTTTTATGTGAGGTAGCCTCTCAGGACAAATAAACTGAAGAACCCAACACTCATATGTCGTGAATAAACATTGTGATATTTGTGAAGAATATAGTGAAAAAACTTTTAGACCATACTGGCCTAACATATGTTCCCTTTTTGGATTAAATGATGGAGAATTTTGTGCTGTAGTTGCATTAAAGTTCTTCAACGCCTACATTTTAACTGAAGTAAAGCAGTGCCTACTGACTTAGGTTTCAGGTCTCAGCTTGTATACTTTAAGAAGCCTTTAAAAATGGCCACTTGATTTCCATTTACCTTATTTTATGTCCTGTAGCAAATTTTGGAGATTACAAGAAAAATGGCTCATAACAGGCATATCCTGAACAAGGATTACTGTACCATACCAGTTTATGTAGTATCCTGCACATGCCTGGAAGCCACTCACTGTCTTTGCAGTCTCAGCAGTAACACTCGTAAAATATCCAAGGATCTCAGCCAAAGTAGAAACTATTGTTGTTTTTAGGTCATGGACTTATTTCTTTATGTATTCAAACTGTTACTGATCATTCTCAACAAAAAACCAATTTTTCTGAGACAAAATGAAAATCCTTTGAAAATGGTGCAGTTTTAACGAAGTAAAAAATCTTTGGTAGAATGAGGTATATATTTCAAGTGAATTAGCTAGGAAGTTTGTTTTACTAACATTTTATAGAAAATAACAGCTAATATAGCTTCTGTCTATAATTTGGGAAAACCGTAAGACGGTTTTTATCATGCTTTATGATTCAAATGCTAGAAAGCGTTATTTTCTCCTGTGAGTTATCTCAGTAGCCCAGGACTCCATGCCTAGGAAGCAAGCAGATATAGAATGATGTTACTATTTGTGTATAAATAAATAAAATGTTTAAGTTTTGTTTTGTTCTGACAGACTCTACAGTTATTTGATAACTTGATGTATGAATTATCCAGCGAGGCCAAAGGATTAACCAGCCAGAATACAGAGTTATGCAGTACTGTAAGGACTCTTTTACAGGCAAGTCCCATGAAATAAGCTGTCAAAGGAATGTTTACATTATTCTTTGATTTTTACCTAAACAATTAAGAGGTTTTTAAGAATGTTTTTGTTAGCTACTAACCCGCTGGCTAAAATGTAATTTGACTTCTTTTGCAGTTGAAGTTCAATTAAAATTTTGTGAATGATTTGATTACATTTAGTGTGTGATGCTGATCAGAATGTAAAAAAAAAATCTCAAATTCTCTAACGCAAATGGAATGTGATTCTCCATATTCAAAGAGTGAATCTGGCACCTATTTATGCAGTCACTTAATTCAGAGTTTTAAAATTTTTGTAAATTGAGAACACCAGTCAAAAGAAATATGAATCTTTCAAAGAGTAAATGGTATCGGAGAAAAGGTCTGGAATTGCTTGATACTATTTTATGGAGCTTCATTCATCTTTAACAAACTACTTACTTACGCAAATAGCAGTGAACTTTAAATGCCATAAAAATCTAGGTGCAATTCAGCTAAGAAAAGATGCTTTTGAAATTATTGCAGGAGTGAAAAACATTGATTGTTGTTGTTTATTCTTGCTTTAAGACGATGGTGCAACTGTTGGAAACTCTGACTGGTTGCGTACGATACGTCTGCACACTGCAAGAGTGTGTGCCTCTGGAGAGTATCCGCACCCTCCCATCCTCGGTTCTTTATGTAATAAAGAACACTTTTACACACTGCAAGGTAGGTCTGTGTTAGAAAGAGAAAAATTCTTATACTGGTTGGCTTTTAGGAAACACTCACTTTGTAAGAGGATCCCATGTTGAAATAATATTGTTGTTGAATTATTTTTTTTTAAATTTAAATTTAGTTGTTTTATAGTTTACAGAATGTACTTAATGCACAAGTACAAAGATGATTTTTCAGCTGTCTGCCCAGTAAATCTGACCTGGTCGTGGGAGGCACAGACTGTGCTATTTCCTTATTTTGTATCAATGTCAGTTGAACATTGCTTATGAACGTAGGCTCTCTGTAAAATCTGTGCACTTCTGATACCTGCAGTATTTTGAGAGCTACAAATGGCTACCAAAATGGTGCTGTTTACCTTATTTCTATGCAAGTTCCAAAGTGGATTGAAAATTGCGATTAGGATCTTTGTGTTGGTTACGATGAATAACGTATACCAGTTTCAGATCTGCATTTTCAGATGCAATAGTAATTCCCCCTACAGCAGTGAAAATAAAACAAGGTAGTTATAAGGACACAATAGCTTTTGGTCAGCCTTCACTTTCACTTTTCAATTTTTCTTTCTTATGGGAACATTTACAGCAGTTTTCCATGTCAGGACTTGAACTCAGGTGCCATACCTTTATTTAACAATTCTGATTTGAAAGAATTGGGAAATACTTGGAATGCTACTCCCTTTGTTGCTAACCTTGTACTGTTTTGTTCAGAAATATGATCTTAGGTTCATGCATCAAGGCCTAATTCAAAGCCCACTAAACTCACTAGAGCCAGGCG